ACTGAGTTCACATGGACAATCCATGTATTTCTGGTGGTGTCTGCATTCCCCTGGCCTTTCCTTTACCCACTACTCAGTTTTACGCTTCCCTGACTGCGGAGCTGGACTGCTTCACGGCTTTTCAATGAGCAGAGCCTGGTTCTGCAGAGTCCCACTGACTGCCACAGAGCTGCTGGCAGGACACCTGACTGTTTGCTTGACAGGTTTTCAGAATTGGGAAATATAAGGAAAATCAAAATGTTTGGGAGATCAGGGCCCCCGCTCAAAGTCAGGAAAAGACAGCTTGGGGAAAATTCTTCCATTCTTTCATTCTGAAAAAGTAATCAAAAGGAAACCCCTTAGAGGCTGAACTTTTACAGGCCACCAGTTTACACTAAGAAAAAAACCCCTGAGATTTCCGTGAATATCTGACTTAAAAACCTGCCATACTTTTAATCCATATAAACCTGTTCCTTGAGTCTAATTAGCTGAGAGCATGGGACTGGTGTTTCCCTAACTTAAAGGGTGGCTAACCAGATCAGAGCAAGGCGACAACAGTAAAAGAATCACAGAATTATATGGGGTTGGAAGGCACCTCTGGAGATCATCTAGGCCAACCCCCTGCCAAAGCAGGTCCACCCAGAGCAGGTTGCACAGGAACGTGTCCAGGTGGGTTTGAATGTCTCCAGAGACGGAGACTCCACCCCCTCCCTGGGCAGCCTCTTCCAGGCCTCTGCCACCCTCACAGGAAAGAAGTTCCTCCTCATGTTGAGGTGGAACTTCTTCTCTTCAAGTTTGTGCCCATTTCCTCTTGTCCTATCCCTGGGCAAGAAGGTTTCAGGCAATCTCACTGGAAATCTTGCACAGATTCATCATCTTGCCACTGTCTAGAGCAGAGAACTTTCTGGCGAGATCTGCTAGATAGTGCAAAAGTTACCTTTGTGGCTGTTGAGCCCAACACTAAACACATTTCTAGAACTGCAACAGGCAAAATAACAAATACAGACTGCCCTTTTTCAGAAACCTATCTAACATTAATGCTGTTTTTCATAATGTTTCCTCAAATACAAAAGTGATCTTTAAACTCTACTATTATTTATAGGGTAGTTAGCCAATTATCAGGCATCCACTCACAGATTTTTATCACTGGAACTGCAGCACACCTCTAGTGCCTTAACGGCTCAGCGTCAGGTCAAAAAAACTGAATAATACTCTTGACTTTTTACCTTTACTCAGTTATTTGCTTGTAGAGCTGTCCTGCCAGCAAGCCTGAGCTACTTAGTTCAAACGTAAACTGAGCTGAGCTGCAGTCACTGCTGCACAGATACATCTTATACAACAAAACCCAAACCACCTCTTTTCTTTGGCCTTATGTTTTGATACTTTGTAAGTAGTATTTTTACCTGATGACTTATCTGTCTGCTTATGTCCAAGACGTGATGAATTCTGTACATTTTTCCTCTAGGTTTCAACACAAACTGCAAACAGCATATCACAGGACTCAACTTCGCTTGTTCTGTCTTATCTGTAAAATAGGGATAAACCTTGCCTGTGTTTAAAACTCCATTTTCCAGGAGCACTTACGCAGCAAAGCCCTCCCTGCCTCTAAGGGGACATGCACAGCATCCCTTGAAATTCTGGTATACCTTTAATTCCTCCTCCCTTCCAATCTGCTGCCATTATTTAAAAATCATTTCCTCTTCATTTCTTGTGTAGGTGTCCAGGAGGTTTTTTTATATGCAGATTCCTGCTGGCACACCCTAGTTCAGCCAAATTCTTTGAAAAGTATCTGTTGTCAATCCCACAGCAGTCATCAGTCCACAAGCCAAATGGTTTTCTCAGAATTCCACCTTGTTTAGCCATCTTTCTCTGCAGTTCTCCCAGTGGGACAGAATGAAATTAAATTTAAACTAGGCTTTAAATTATTTAGTCAGAGATAATTGAGTTTGGAAAGTCATACTAGAGAATGATCACCCAGGGAAGTAACTAAATATGATTTTGGGAGAGGGGGCAGGTCCAAGTGTTACCACTTCTCATAGTAAAAGACACAAGCTGCTCTTTCATTCTGATCATACAGAAAATAATTTCCTGCACACTTAAGGACAACATCCTTTCTCCTCAGGAGGAATCAGGCCCTAAGGCGGCTGAAAAACCTGGCAAACAGCTTACTTCATTTTTAGGGGGACTATGTTTTCCAAATAAAAGAAAACCAAGCAGAACTTGTATTTACGTTATTAACTTTGCACGATGCCATGAGAGTCTCCTATAAGGGACAAAAGCTAACTAGAATAAAAAAGCTATAGTTTCACACTGCTTTTAACTCAACAGTGACACAGACAGGTTTCCTCAAGGAAAAGGTATTTTCTAGTCTAGCTATATCTGAATATATCATAAAACAAATTTGTCTTCACCTTATGTAATAAACTAGCTCTGTCAATACCCATCCTTCATTTACTCCCCCCTCTCTCCAGACAACATCCAGCACCATAATTCCCCTGGATTTATCCTGACAGAAGCAGAGCAGTCCTGCAACTGCTTTCCTGAGACCAATATTTCATAATTACTTTTTCAGAAAAACCCAAACCCTGCCCTAACAGTCTTAGAAAAAAAAAAATCCACTCCAACTGATTAGAAAGGAACCAAAATGATGTAGGAGATGAGGGATGACACTCAGGTCTGGCACACAGCAGCACTTTTGAGGAAAAAGGGCTCTGTTTTGGGTCATTTTCACACACTGGGCTCTGCCATGAATGGCCTGGGGTGCTGCTTTTTCATTTTCCAGGGACAATGGGTATTCCCAATCAGGCAGAAAAGCACCAAACTTGCACAGTGACCACGACAAGCAAATGTATTCTCCTCTGTGCACACATATACACGTAACAGGGGTGGGAAAGCACCTCTGCGCACATGTAAGCACACGACAAGGCAACAGCGACCGCTCTCATGCACACAATATGAATAACCATTCTTTTACATCATACTAGCTATCATGGGTCCAGGCAATCACAAGCACAAATCCAGGTTGGGCGGAGAATGGCTGGAGAGCAGCCCTGAGAAGGACTTGGGGGTGTTGGTGGACGAGAAGCTCAACACGAGCTGGCAACAGCTAATCACTTGCCAGTTAAGATGCTCTGGGAATAGACCCAATTCACTGAATTTCACTGAATTTTTAGAGTTGGAAGGGATCACAGAGATCATCTAGTCCAACTCCCCTGCTGAAGCAGGACCACCCAGAGCTTGTCAGAGCATGTTACTCAGGAGCATCCAGGCGGGTCTTGAAAATCTCCAAAGAAGGGGACTCCACACCCTCCCTGGGCAGCCTGTTCCAGGGCTCTGCCACCCTCACCGTGAAAAAGTTCTTCCTCATATTCAAGTGGAACCCTTTATGTTCCAACTTGTGCCCGTTGCCCCTCGTCCTCTCACTGGCAACTACTGAAAAGAGTCTGGCTCCCTCCTCCTTCAACCCACCCTTGAGATATTTGTAGGCATTAATGAGGTCTCCCCTCAGCCTTCTCTTCTCCAGACTAAAGAGTCCCAGCTCTCTCAGCCTCTCCTCATTAGGGAGATGCTCCAATCCTTGAATCATCTTTGTTGCCCTTCGCTGGACTCTTTCCAGTAGCTCCTTGTCCCTCTTGAGCTGGGGAGGCCAGAACTGGACGCAGGATTCCAGTTGTGGCCTCACCAGTGCAGAGCAGAGGGGGAGAATAACTTCCCTTGACCTGCTGGCCACACTCTTCCCTACACAGCCCAGGATTCCGTTGGCCTTCCTGGCCACAAGAGCACACTGCTTGCTCATTGTCATTTTGTTGTCCACCAGGACCCCCAGATCCTTTTCTTCAGAGCTTGTCTCCAGCAGGTCCATGCCTAACCTGTATTGATGCCTAACATTCTTCTTTCCCAGGTGCAGGATCCTGCACTTTTCCTTGTTGAACCTCATGAGGTTCTTCCTTGCCCAATTCTTCAGCCTGTCCAGATCTCGCTGGATGGCAGCACAGCCCTCTGAGGTAAATTCATAGTATGTGCTGCCTCCTTCCAGGAAATCTGGCTATTTAGAGACCACTCCTCACCCCCGCAAAGCCAGCTCCTTCGCTGCATCCCTGCAGAGCCCGGGCTGGGACACACACCTCTGCAGGCAACCACTGCATACGGGGCAGCAGCTCACACCCAGAAATCAAAGCCTCCTCAGATATCCAAGGCTGGGCCAGGAACCTCAGCTGCTGCCTCTGAAGTCGCAGGAAAAGCCCAGGCACTCCCAGGCACAAATCCAGGTTGGGAGGAGAATGGATGAAGGGCAGCCCTGAGGAGAAGGACTTGGGGGTGTTGGTGAATGAGAAGCTCAACACAAGCTGCCAACGTGCCCTGGCAGCCCAGAAAGCCAACCCCATCCTGGGCTGCATCCCCAGCAGCGTGGCCAGCAGGGCCAGGGGGGGATTCTGCCCCTCTGCTCCGCTCTGGGGAGACACTCCCCCAGTGCTGCCTCCAGCTCTGGGGCCACCACCAGCAGAAGGACATGGAGCTACTGGAGTGGGGCCAGAGGAGGCCACAGAGATGCTGGGAGGGCTGGGGCCCCTCTGCTGGGAGGGGGGGCTGAGAGAGTTGGGGGGTTCAGCCTGGAGAAGAGAAGGCTCTGGGGAGCCCTTGGAGCCCCTTCCAGTCCCTCAAGGGGCTCCAGGAAAGCTGGGAAGGGACTCTGGATGAGGGAGGGGAGCCCTAGGAGGAGGGGGAAGGGTTTGACCCTGCAAGAGGGGAGATGGAGCTGAGATGTGGGGAAGAACTTGTTTGGTGTGAGGGTGGTGAGAGCCTGGCCCAGGTTGCCCCGAGAAGCTGTGGCTGCCCCATCCCTGGAGGGGTTCAAGGCCAGGTTGGAGGGGGCTTGGAGCAACCTGGTCTGGTGGGAGGTGTCCCTGCCCAGGGCAGGGGGTGGGACCGGATGATCTTTAAGGTCCCGTCCAACCCGAACCACTCTGCCATTCCTTACGTTTCTCGGTTTCTCCTCCAGAGAGCTCCACTATAACACCGTCCCCGGGGCAGTGGCACCGCTCTCCGCAGCGCGGGGACAGGCCTCACCCTGAGGGAGCGGGAGGCCCGGCCGCCGCCACCCCCGCCTCCCCACGGCGCCTGCGCGCCCCGTCCCCACAGCAACGGCGAGCCGCGGCGCCGCACCATGTCGCTGCCCCCGCCCCTGAGGAGGCGGCTGAGCTCCTTCAGCCGCACCGTCTTCACCGACAGCCACCGCACCGGCCCGCAGTACCCGGGCGACCGCCCAGGTAAAGCGGGGTGGTGGTGGTTCGCCAGCAACAAAAGTGGCAGTGGCGGCGCGAAGGTGGGAGGGCGGGGGGGGAGCCCCCAGGAAAGGAAGATGGCGGTCTTCCGCCCATCGCGATGGGGCAGGGGCGCTGAGGTGGCGGCTTCCCGGAGCCCCGTCGCTCTCGCCACATGGAGGGGCCCGGTAGCCGGTCCGGCTGCGATGAGCGGAGATGTCTTTCGGGTGAGACTTGGCTTCACCCTCAGTTCATGGAATGTGGCTTCATGGACATGGTGTGGGGTGAAGCCACAAGCAGCAGCTCCATCCCCCTGCAGCTCAGGCTGCTGTGGTGTTGCAGGCCCGAGACAGGCTCCCTTAAATATTTAAGCAGGGAACAGTCTTGATTTTAAAGCGGGTGTGGAGAAAATTTACGCCCGCCTTTACAGTTAAGTGAGTTTGCATAAAATATCGCAGATAAAATCCATTACACAGGCAGCAGGCACCCTGCCTGTGCCCAAGTAAAAATGATTTATGGAGAACACAGAACAAATAAAAGACCCGAGCTATCACATTAAAACTCCTGCACAGGTAGGACACCAGACCCGTAAAGCACGAAGTGCTGTACTAAGCTAGAGTTAGGTCGCAAAAACTCAAGCTTGCCATACTCCAGCTTTCTCTTTATTTTTCCAAAGCTTATCGTCATGACTGATAACTGTTCCTTCATCATATTGCCAGTGAAACTTGCCAGCCAACTTACCCCCTTTTTGTATCTTTAGAGAGAGAGTAGCCATGAAAATAAACCTTAACTATGTAGGCAGACTGTTATGTTCATTTCAACTGATAAATCCATTCCAAGCTGATAAAATTGACCAAAAAGTCATTCTTCTTTCCAGACAGGAGTACTCATTTTCTCTCTGCAGTTACACTGCTAACACTTTACTAGTTACTAATTCTTCATTTCATTTCTCAAACAACACTGAAATATTTTTCTTAACGCCAGGAATAATTTCTGGTTGTAGTAATTTCTTTTCCATTTCCCATTATGAAAACTCCTGTGTGAATATCCAGCCTACTGAAACCAATTGCAAGTGCACCACTAAATTCTTGGAGATCAGGATTTCAAACATTAAATTTACACATACCTACCTTAGTGACTTGCTTGAGCGTCAAAGAATTGGCCATTGCAATACTGTCTGGCTTTTCCATGAGTTTTAGCAATCCCAGAAAATAAGCATTAGTTCAGTTTAGTGATAGAAAGATGAATTAGAATTGGGTTATATTGCTAACAGTTTGAAAACTTAAGTAGAAGTTACAAATACCGATGCTATGCACTTGAAGCCTTTAACATGCCTAAAACGTTGTCATCACAATTGAAATTAGAGCTCTTGGCTTCTCTGTTTTTAAGTAAAATGTCCATGCACCATTAAATTTTCATCTAATGCATATAGGGCAGAAACAGAGTTACTTGTAATTGGACGGTCATGTTTTCTCAAAAGATAAAGCAGTGTTTTAGAATTGCATCTCAGCACCCTCCAAAGCCCTGCTCTTTAAGAGATTCATTCACTAGCACATCTGGGACAATTTTAGGTAGATAGTGAAACTGTTTGGTAGTGTTTAGATTTAGTAGATGTTTAGATTTTCATTCCTTCGCAGATGATGCTTAAAAATGCGGTGTAAAAAAAAAATTAAAAATTAGTTGTCTTGCACTTTTTATTTCAGTATAACAAATTCCTGCCCCTCACACCCTACCCCTAAGGTCTGTCCCAGCTCTGTTCCCAAATCCTCCTCCCTTCCCACCTAGTCTAGTAGCCATCATGAATACTTCTGCAACTGGCTTAAAGACTTCTGGAACAGACTTGTCCCAGGCTGCAAGTGGCCGGAATGGAAACAGGGATGCCAGACTGAGATGGAACAAGGACAGGTATGAGAGTGGTTGGAAGATACGGAACAAAAAAGGCAGTGTCAGAAAAGAGGTGGTTCTGAGGCCGAAAGTGAGACAATGTGACTGTTCAGACTGATTTCCAGTTGAATATCACAGCACTTGAAAACAAACCAGCAGGTCACAACGAGGTGACTTGCTCAGGTAGTACCAAGTAAAGGTGTGCCCAGAGACAAACATGATAAAAGAGACTGTTGGTAATTGAAGCACAAGTGGATGCAATGTCAGTTAACTGGAATATGATAATAAAGCTTCATCCATTAAAAATGAATGGCCTTTGACATTTTTGCTTTTTTTGAGTCTAATATTTGTGTCTATTATTAAATCCTAAATACAGAATTTACTGTCTAGATGTTAGAGTTCAATATTTGCTTTTCCCCACATTGTAGGAAAGCATTTTGTTCTCTCCAAAATTTAAAGGTTAAGTTTTAGTTTGACACATATTTGAAATTGTTAGCTCTTAAGATTTAGGAGAATTACTGGTTTCTTGCAACATTGCTTCCATCCAAATGTCTAGTTAAAAAAAATTGAAAATTAAGAGCGGGCAATGCAAACCTGCTCTCGAGCAGTAAGTCCTTACTCAGGAAGATCATCTACAAAATAACAATAAATACATACCCACTGAAACTTTGGCCATTCTCTTAGGAACAGCAATGAAATAACTGCTAGCTCTCTCTGCAATAGTATACAGCACTATACAGTACAGTATATACAGTACACAGCACTACTTGAGCTCAGTCTTGTCAGTCAGAGATTGTGGAGAAAGCCAAAAGCCACCAGGTTACCAACGATTAGACACTCGCCTTGAATATATGACTAAGTGATAACAATTCCCCATCCTGTGAACTGAAAGTTGCATTAGATTCCAGGAAATGGTGCGACTCGAGATAGGGTAAGAAGGTTTCGGATATATACACAAAAATGTTTTTCTTAACATTTAATTTGACTGGGAAGAATGTTCGTGCCCCGCTTGAAGCTAAGATGAAGCAGTATGTTTCTGTCATATTTATGGAAGGGACTTATGGAACAAACTAGGAATGATAAAGACTTCTCTCTATCTACAGATAATGAAATACTTTCCAGTTTACCACTGCAGATGTCCCTCTATTTCAACGTTTATTTTTTCCCATTTTGGTGGCTCAGTGCAGTTGTCATGCTCCATGTGAAGGTGAGTCCTGAAGGAAAGTGATGTGTCACCTGAGAGTGAGCTCACCAGAGTTAGAGGCTGTTAGGTTTATTCGGTAATTCCTTGAAACTGGAGGTTCAAGAGTATTTGAAAGCCTTTCCATTTATTCACTTAATCACAGTCGGCATGTAATGAAATAGGACAGCAGAAACTTTCACTCTCTTCTTCCCTCTAGTATCCGGTCTTGTCAGATTACTACAAGTTCATCCTGGTGACAATCATGATCCTCACCTCTCTGATAGAGATCATCCGACTCTACCTGGGATACATGGGCAATCTGCAGGAGAAGGTATGGTACCACATGTACGTATTAATTTGTGCAGGAGAGTTTTTTGGAGTTTAACATAAATGAAGTGGTCTAACTGTTCATCTGAGAGATTTAAGTTGAAGAGAAGGTTATTTCTCTTTAAGTTACAGTCTGCATCTTCTCTTCCTCTGGCATCAGCTTCCACTTAATTTTGTGCATTCCAAGAAATTTTCCCCCAGAGGAGAGCCTTCTTGCTCCCTAAAACTGTTTTGTCAGAAAAAAATAGTATGGCTAAAACCACAGTATATGGAAATGTTAAGCCACCTCACTTTGCCATTTCCCATTACATACTGGCTTTTGGAAAATTAAAAATGTTTTTTCTTCACAAGATTTTCAAATTTTTTTTTCCATCTCCAGATGCCAATTTTTAATAGGTGATGTCTCCCTACTATAGGTCCCTGAGCTGGCTGGGTTTTGGCTCCTGACTCTCCTCCTGCAGTTGCCTATAATTCTCTTCTTGCTATTTAATGAAGGTCTGATAATTCTGCCCCTGGAGCGAGCGGTCCATATCGTCTTTGCCCTGTTCCTCATGTTCCAAGTCGTTGCGGCTTTTGTCACCCTGAAGAGAATGGTGAACAAACTGGCAACCCACTTTCGCCTTAACGAGTTTGATCAGCTGGAGGAACATCCCGGGCCAGATTTTTACAGCCTGGGTAAAGAAGGGAGGGCAGTTCCTCTGGCTGGTAGGGGCCCCGGCGCTGGCTGGGGAGGTCACACGCTGAGGAGCTAACAGAGGTTAGCTTGTGCTGCTACAGCTCTGTTTCCCTTTTGTTGGGTCATTCTTTACCTTCAAAGATATTAAAAGAATAGATCTTAAAAGCTCCCTTCAACCTGGGAGATTGGAGCTCCACTCAAAGCCTTTTACACAACTAGCTTGAGCTGTTGGATTGTTCCTGTGCAGAGTGCCAACAGAGTAGGTTTGGTGGGTTTTTTACCAAGTCATGTGGTGGTTTTGGAAAAACAGAAGCCTTTTTCCTCACTCTTTGCACAGAACTGTTTTGTTTACAATAAATCTTTTATACACATTTTTATTTGCGTTGATAGCAGTTTTCTCTCTATTCTTCCAGATACATTACACATATTTAATGTCTGGTACCTCAGTTAAGCCAAAACAACCGAACCCAGACCAACTAAACTAAACCAAAGACCAAAACAAAGAACCCCAAGAAATCCTGAGGCCCAGAAAGGACAAAGAATGATTAGATAGTGAACAAAGACTACAGTTTCAGACAGTCTTCCAGATAATTCCAGCACTTGGAATTCCTTACTAATAAACTAGGGATGGAATTTTATAAGTATTCCTTCCTCAGATCTCTTACACTCCTCTTCTTTGACTTAGCTTGAGTTTTAACTATCAAGCCATTCAAAGAGGGTGGTGTAATTTTCGCAACGGAGGACTCAATAAATCAGCAGTAACAAAATTACAGCCATTAAAAAAATTGGTTTATGTCACTGGAAGGCAGAGCCTGTTCCTCACAAGCCAGGGCATATACCAGTGTTCTCTCCTTTTTATTAACGCCTAGACTATCTTCTTCAGTTTCAGTAATGGCTAAAAGTTCTCCTTGTCTGTCAAGGAGGGATGGAGATCGAAAGTTGAAATAATTTTTTCATCTCAATCCTTTGAGTCTTCAGCAGGGCAAGAGTCATCAATTTTGAGAGCTGGCACAGACATCTAAACTGCCAAAGGAATGTAAAGAAGGTGGGTCTAATGTGAAAAAGGCACAGCATGCTTAAAGCTGCTGTATATTTAAAGCTTATAGATCCTCTAGTGAAAATAAAGCGTGAGCTTAGTCTTAAACCAAAATGGTTCATTTTCTTTTTAATCCATAAGTGAGTAAAGCATATGTTGTAAGAGCACGTACCCCTTTGTCTTTAAACAAACTACTGGTTTGGATTTGCTATTGCACAGAAAAAGAGACTTTCTGCAAAAGAGTCTCGAAGAGTGTCTTTTAACTGTTCATATAAAACATTTAGAGCTCTGTATTCAGAGCCTGTGAGAGAGACAGTGAGATTTAGGCAGAAGTTACGTCATCTCCAAAACACACTTACAGCATTAGAAACTCCTTGTAAAAACATTCTTAACGGATGCAGTGGGAACATTGTGCATATTTTTGCGGCAACCATAATTACACTCCTGGAGAGTGCCCAAGTCAGGGCTGATGAGCTGGGGAGCATCCATTACAATTAGAGATAATGGCATAATGGGTCCTGCCAGGCCAAAGAGAAACACCAAAGACCTTAGAAGAGACACCAGGGCAGTGGCCATCCCTTCTGCTCTGCTGGAGCTTGCCTGTTCCCCTCACTCCGGGGGCTCAGCAGGGACATATGCTGAGATGGTCCACCAGCAAGGCAAGCTCCAAGGAGAGAGAGGGATTACCTGTGGTGATCCTGTATCTCCTGCCCTAACTAGAAAATGGCACGTTCTTTGGGTTTCTGTCTCGTATCATCTTAAAAAGTTTAAAACTTCAATCCTTTTGTGTGATGAAGAATGTAATGGGTGGGAAGACTTTTATGTTGAACATCAAGTTCAACATAAAGCTGAAAAAAAAAAAAGTAATCCACCTATACCAATGCTGGCAACAAGGAACTGTCCTCCAGGCTGAGGCCACGGGATGTGATTTCAAAGTCCTTGCTTTTAGGGTTAAGGAAGTCATGCCCTTGGGAGGTCAAATTGCCATGCAAGACCAGAAGCAGGAGGCAAAGCTACAGGGGGACACAGCTCTCTGCTGGAGAGAGGGAGAAAGCATCGATGAGGCAATACAGGGAATAAAATTCAGAGAAACATGGTCCGAAATGGGGTTGCCTGGAGGGGTGCTTCATGTAGATGTGCCTGGAGCATCTCCCTTACAAGGAGAGGCTGAGGGACTTGGGGCTTTTTAGCCTGGAGAAGAGAAGGCTGAGGGGGGATCTGATCAATGCTTATAAATACTTAAAGGGAGGGAGTCAGGAGGACGGGACGGGGCTTTTCTCAATTGGGCCCAGTGACAGGACAAGAGGAAATGGACACAAACTTGAATTTAAGAAGTTCCATCCAAACATGAGGAGGAACTTCTTTCCTCTGAGGGTGGCAGAGCCCTGGCAGAGGCTGCCCAGGGAGGTGGGGGAGTCTCCTTCTCTGGAGACATTCAAACCCACCTGGACACGTTCCTGTGCAACCTGCTCTGGGTGGCCCTGCTCTGGCAGGGGGTTGGACTAGATGATCTCCAGAGGTCCCTTCCAACCCCATAGCATTCTGCGATTGGGAAGGAGTGGAAGTTCACTGAGCAGCATCCAGGCAGTTTTGAACACCAGCTGTGCAACAGCAGCTTTTTGCCACACTGGGCTTTGTGCAGAAATAAAACCACGAGTTTTTTATCATCTACACAGCTCCTGGTAGCCCCCCCCACACCCATTCATGAGCAAAATCTCTGAATGGCAAAAGTGTATGTACAGAACTCAGTTATTGTATTTCACCAAGTTTACTCTTAGGAAAGGCCAACAGCCAATTTGAAAGGAAATGTGTGCCAACATACTTCCTTTAACTGAAGAAAAGAAACGAGGAATGGGCATATTACCTTAAAACGCTCTTTTTTAGGTTACTGATCAATTTGATGAGGAGAAGGATTTTGTGTTCAAGGGCATAGTTGCCAAGTTGTTAATACCTGGACTTGGCATGTGTTCCTTGTCTAAAATAGACTTTGTAGAAGAACTTTTTTCATTATTTCTTTTTAATAGTTGCAGGACTTCCGAGAAGGGGAAATTACATTTGGAAGATGCTTCAATTATAGTACCTTACTCGAGCAGATCTGATAAAGCAGACATGAGATTTGATAAAAAGCAGACAATTAATGAAAAAAAAAAAAAAGAGGGTACAGCATTAACTTCTCTATATCAAAATTCACTCTTTCAGATTGCGGAGAGAATTGCACCCTGAGGAATGAGATAATACATTTCACTCTTGCCTTTGTCTCCTAAAAACTAGACTAGACCTAGCGTTAATCTTTAAATAGTTAACGAAGCAGGTAGAGGTGGCATCATTACATGGTCTGGTAAGATAGTCAATAGTAATTTTTGACAGCTGGGTAAGGCTGCAGAGATCATTTATTTAGAAAAACAAATTTTATCCCCAGGGCAGAATCAGATCAGATGGCAGCAATTAAAAAGGATTTTATCCAACGCTTGGAATAAAGCAAGGATAAGAAAGAGGTCTTCCATAGGAGGCAGGCAAAGCAGTGTGTAAGGGTGAGCTGATAAGACCAAGAAGAATTTAAACTATAACAGAATAAATAGGTTCAAGAAGTGTAACACTGAGGGAAAATGAGTATGTTGATTGGTGCCACTGAAGGAGCCCCTAGGTACATGAAGCGGAGGATTTATTAAAAGGAAATAAATGTGCTAAGTTACTAGCTTGGCGTTATTCCCCTCTGCTAAGCTGCAGCCTGCAGGACACAGTTCCACATTCATTAAACACATGCAACTTTTGCAGCTTGTTGTAAGAAAACCCACGCTCTCTTCTTCATTCGGTCCAAGGTTCGAAAAGAATAAAAATACAGTCCCCAGGAAACACATAACTGGCCAAGAGACATGAGCACAACAGAGAAACCATAGAAAGAAAGGACCAAGCCTGGCAGGCAGCTGCAAGCACAACCGTGCTGAGACCTGTGGCTTCCCTGGTGAATTTTGGAAGTATTAGTGACTTCCTTGAGAGCTGCCTTGAGCATCCTGTGCTAGGGAAGGAGTTCCTGCAGCCTGTGAAAGGAGCTACTGTTGTTCTTCAAGGGATAGAAGAGACCTTTCTTTATTCGCCCTGGCAGAACCAGGCTGTTCCCCAGTAAAAAAATAAGTAAAAATGCTTGAACATTCTTAAGTTACCACATTCTCCATTTATTGAAACTGTGCCATAAGCTGAATTGGTTATAGGTGAGAAGACCATCAGGTACACCTATTCGTCATCACTCAGACTGCTAATTCCAGGAGAAATTTATTTCTTATTACTTTACATGGAGAAAGCTTAGGGCAGCATGGAGCTTTGAACAGAACCTCATCCCATGTGGCTACTGGCCCACAGTTACTTAAAGAGGAACCTACTGACTTGTGCCAGTCCAGGATGATTCTTATCAATGTGCTTGATCTCCCATTTGAATTACAGAAAGGATTTTAGCATGGACACCTATTCTCTCTTTGTTTTGCCCTTGACCCCTCAGCCCTCTACACAGGAAATAGGTTATTTATTACAGAATTATCACCTGGATCTATGCAAATTGTTCAACACTGTCCCATATGACATCCTGGTCTCAAAATTGGATAGTCATGGATTTGATGGATGGACCACTCATTGGATAAGGAACTGGCTGGATGGCTGCACTCAAAGGGTTGCGCTTAATACCTCAATGTCCAAGTGGTGGCCAGTGACGAGTGGTGATCCTCAGGGGTCAGTACTGGGACCAGTGCTGTTTAACATCTTTGTCGGACACATGGACAGTGGGATAGAGTGCACCCTCAGCAAGTTTGCCACAAAGCTGTGTGGCACAGTCAATATGCTATGGGGAAGGGATGCCATCCAGAGGGACCTGGACAGGCTGGAGAGGTGGGCCCATGTGAACCTCATGAAGTACAACCAAACCAAGTGTAGGGTCCTGCACCTGGGACATGGCAATCCCAGGCACAAATACAGGTTGGACAGAGAATGGCTGGAGAGCAGCCCTGAGGAGAAGGACTTGGAGGTGTTGGTGGACGAGAAGCTCAACATGAGCCAGCAATGTGCACTGGCAGCCCAGAAAGTCAACCCCATCCTGGGCTGCATCAAGAGAAGTGTGGCCAGCAGGTCACAGGAGGTGATTCTACCCCTCTACTCTGTGCTCGTGAGACCCCACCTGGAGTGCTGTGTCCAGCTTTGGAGTCCTCAATACAGGAAGGACATGGACCTGTTGGAGCAGGTCCAGCAGAAGGCCATGAAAGTGATCAGAGGGATGGAGCTCCTCTGCTGTGAGGACAGGCTGAGAGATTTGGGGTTGTTCAGCCTGGAGAAGAGAAGGCTCCAGGGAGACCTTACAATGGCCTTCCAGTACTTAAAAGGGGCCTACAGGAGAGATGGGGAGGGACTCTGCATCAGGGAGTGTAGCGATAGGACGAGGAGTAATGGTTTTAAACTGAAAGAGGGGAGATGGAGCTGAGATGTGGGGAAGAAATTCTTTGGTGTGAGGGTGGTGAGAGCCTGGTCCAAGTTGCCCTGAGAAGCTGTGGCTGCCCCATCCCTGGAGGGGTTCAAGGCCAGGTTGGAGGGGGCTTGGAGCAACCTGGACTGGTGGGAGGTGTCCCTGCCCAGGGCAGGGGGGTTGGAACTTGATAATCTTTGAGGTCCCTTCCAACTCTAACCATTCTATGATTCTATAATTAAAACTTGCAAGAACACATCAAAAGATACCAGAGTACATTTACAACCGCAGGGTATTCATGCAAGAGTCAACATTTGAAACATACAGCTTAAGGATTCCACATTTGATTTTTTTGTTTGTTTTTAAAGCACCTCAGTTTGAGGTGAAATCTTACTGCAACCAGAAATGCTAGAAATCCTCCCTCTGTGAAGCATCTGGAAGTAGTTGGACAGCAAGTCTTCGAACAATGAAACAACTTTGAAAATCCTGGAGAAACCTAAAGCTCACTCTTTTTTCCCCACCCCCCCTCCCAAAATAATTCAGCATAGTTATAAAAACACAGGTAGGGGAAAAAAAAAATAGAGGTGGTTCTGAGGCCGAAAGTGAGACAATGTGACTGTTCAGACTGATTTCCAGTTGAATATCACAGCACTTGAAAACAAACCAGCAGGTCACAACGAGGTGACTTGCTCAGGTAGTACCAAGTAAAGGTGTGCCCAGAGACAAACATGATAAAAGAGACTGTTGGTAATTGAAGCACAAGTGGATGCAATGTCAGTTAACTGGAATATGATAATAAAGCTTCATCCATTAAAAATGAATGGCCTTTGACATTTTTGCTTTTTTTGAGTCTAATATTTGTGTCTATTATTAAATCCTAAATACAGAATTTACTGTCTAGATGTTAGAGTTCAATATTTGCTTTTCCCCACATTGTAGGAAAGCATTTTGTTCTCTCCAAAATTTAAAGGTTAAGTTTTAGTTTGACACATATTTGAAATTGTTAGCTCTTAAGATTTAGGAGAATTACTGGTTTCTTGCAACATTGCTTCCATCCAAATGTCTAGTTAAAAAAAATTGAAAATTAAGAGCGGGCAATGCAAACCTGCTCTCGAGCAGTAAGTCCTTACTCAGGAAGATCATCTACAAAATAACAATAAATACATACCCACTGAAACTTTGGCCATTCTCTTAGGAACAGCAATGAAATAACTGCTAGCTCTCTCTGCAATAGTATACAGCACTATACAGTACAGTATATACAGTACACAGCACTACTTGAGCTCAGTCTTGTCAGTCAGAGATTGTGGAGAAAGCCAAAAGCCACCAGGTTACCAACGATTAGACACTCGCCTTGAATATATGACTAAGTGATAACAATTCCCCATCCTGTGAACTGAAAGTTGCATTAGATTCCAGGAAATGGTGCGACTCGAGATAGGGTAAGAAGGTTTCGGATATATACACAAAAATGTTTTTCTTAACATTTAATTTGACTGGGAAGAATGTTCGTGCCCCGCTTGAAGCTAAGATGAAGCAGTATGTTTCTGTCATATTTATGGAAGGGACTTATGGAACAAACTAGGAATGATAAAGACTTCTCTCTATCTACAGATAATGAAATACTTTCCAGTTTACCACTGCAGATGTCCCTCTATTTCAACGTTTATTTTTTCCCATTTTGGTGGCTCAGTGCAGTTGTCATGCTCCATGTGAAGGTGAGTCCTGAAGGAAAGTGATGTGTCACCTGAGAGTGAGCTCACCAGAGTTAGAGGCTGTTAGGTTTATTCGGTAATTCCTTGAAACTGGAGGTTCAAGAGTATTTGAAAGCCTTTCCATTTATTCACTTAATCACAGTCGGCATGTAATGAAATAGGACAGCAGAAACTTTCACTCTCTTCTTCCCTCTAGTATCCGGTCTTGTCAGATTACTACAAGTTCATCCTGGTGACAATCATGATCCTCACCTCTCTGATAGAGATCATCCGACTCTACCTGGGATACATGGGCAATCTGCAGGAGAAGGTATGGTACCACATGTACGTATTAATTTGTGCAGGAGAGTTTTTTGGAGTTTAACATAAATGAAGTGGTCTAACTGTTCATCTGAGAGATTTAAGTTGAAGAGAAGGTTATTTCTCTTTAAGTTACAGTCTGCATCTTCTCTTCCTCTGGCATCAGCTTCCACTTAATTTTGTGCATTCCAAGAAATTTTCCCCCAGAGGAGAGCCTTCTTGCTCCCTAAAACTGTTTTGTCAGAAAAAAATAGTATGGCTAAAACCACAGTATATGGAAATGTTAAGCCACCTCACTTTGCCATTTCCCATTACATACTGGCTTTTGGAAAATTAAAAATGTTTTTTCTTCACAAGATTTTCAAATTTTTTTTTCCATCTCCAGATGCCAATTTTTAATAGGTGATGTCTCCCTACTATAGGTCCCTGAGCTGGCTGGGTTTTGGCTCCTGACTCTCCTCCTGCAGTTGCCTATAATTCTCTTCTTGCTATTTAATGAAGGTCTGATAATTCTGCCCCTGGAGCGAGCGGTCCATATCGTCTTTGCCCTGTTCCTCATGTTCCAAGTCGTTGCGGCTTTTGTCACCCTGAAGAGAATGGTGAACAAACTGGCAACCCACTTTCGCCTTAACGAGTTTGATCAGCTGGAGGAACATCCCGGGCCAGATTTTTACAGCCTGGGTAAAGAAGGGAGGGCAGTTCCTCTGGCTGGTAGGGGCCCCGGCGCTGGCTGGGGAGGTCACACGCTGAGGAGCTAACAGAGGTTAGCTTGTGCTGCTACAGCTCTGTTTCCCTTTTGTTGGGTCATTCTTTACCTTCAAAGATATTAAAAGAATAGATCTTAAAAGCTCCCTTCAACCTGGGAGATTGGAGCTCCACTCAAAGCCTTTTACACAACTAGCTTGAGCTGTTGGATTGTTCCTGTGCAGAGTGCCAACAGAGTAGGTTTGGTGGGTTTTTTACCAAGTCATGTGGTGGTTTTGGAAAAACAGAAGCCTTTTTCCTCACTCTTTGCACAGAACTGTTTTGTTTACAATAAATCTTTTATACACATTTTTATTTGCGTTGATAGCAGTTTTCTCTCTATTCTTCCAGATACATTACACATATTTAATGTCTGGTACCTCAGTTAAGCCAAAACAACCGAACCCAGACCAACTAAACTAAACCAAAGACCAAAACAAAGAACCCCAAGAAATCCTGAGGCCCAGAAAGGACAAAGAATGATTAGATAGTGAACAAAGACTACAGTTTCAGACAGTCTTCCAGATAATTCCAGCACTTGGAATTCCTTACTAATAAACTAGGGATGGAATTTTATAAGTATTCCTTCCTCAGATCTCTTACACTCCTCTTCTTTGACTTAGCTTGAGTTTTAACTATCAAGCCATTCAAAGAGGGTGGTGTAATTTTCGCAACGGAGGACTCAATAAATCAGCAGTAACAAAATTACAGCCATTAAAAAAATTGGTTTATGTCACTGGAAGGCAGAGCCTGTTCCTCACAAGCCAGGGCATATACCAGTGTTCTCTCCTTTTTATTAACGCCTAGACTATCTTCTTCAGTTTCAGTAATGGCTAAAAGTTCTCCTTGTCTGTCAAGGAGGGATGGAGATCGAAAGTTGAAATAATTTTTTCATCTCAATCCTTTGAGTCTTCAGCAGGGCAAGAGTCATCAATTTTGAGAGCTGGCACAGACATCTAAACTGCCAAAGGAATGTAAAGAAGGTGGGTCTAATGTGAAAAAGGCACAGCATGCTTAAAGCTGCTGTATATTTAAAGCTTATAGATCCTCTAGTGAAAATAAAGCGTGAGCTTAGTCTTAAACCAAAATGGTTCATTTTCTTTTTAATCCATAAGTGAGTAAAGCATATGTTGTAAGAGCACGTACCCCTTTGTCTTTAAACAAACTACTGGTTTGGATTTGCTATTGCACAGAAAAAGAGACTTTCTGCAAAAGAGTCTCGAAGAGTGTCTTTTAACTGTTCATATAAAACATTTAGAGCTCTGTATTCAGAGCCTGTGAGAGAGACAGTGAGATTTAGGCAGAAGTTACGTCATCTCCAAAACACACTTACAGCATTAGAAACTCCTTGTAAAAACATTCTTAACGGATGCAGTGGGAACATTGTGCATATTTTTGCGGCAACCATAATTACACTCCTGGAGAGTGCCCAAGTCAGGGCTGATGAGCTGGGGAGCATCCATTACAATTAGAGATAATGGCATAATGGGTCCTGCCAGGCCAAAGAGAAACACCAAAGACCTTAGAAGAGACACCAGGGCAGTGGCCATCCCTTCTGCTCTGCTGGAGCTTGCCTGTTCCCCTCACTCCGGGGGCTCAGCAGGGACATATGCTGAGATGGTCCACCAGCAAGGCAAGCTCCAAGGAGAGAGAGGGATTACCTGTGGTGATCCTGTATCTCCTGCCCTAACTAGAAAATGGCACGTTCTTTGGGTTTCTGTCTCGTATCATCTTAAAAAGTTTAAAACTTCAATCCTTTTGTGTGATGAAGAATGTAATGGGTGGGAAGACTTTTATGTTGAACATCAAGTTCAACATAAAGCTGAAAAAAAAAAAAGTAATCCACCTATACCAATGCTGGCAACAAGGAACTGTCCTCCAGGCTGAGGCCACGGGATGTGATTTCAAAGTCCTTGCTTTTAGGGTTAAGGAAGTCATGCCCTTGGGAGGTCAAATTGCCATGCAAGACCAGAAGCAGGAGGCAAAGCTACAGGGGGACACAGCTCTCTGCTGGAGAGAGGGAGAAAGCATCGATGAGGCAATACAGGGAATAAAATTCAGAGAAACATGGTCCGAAATGGGGTTGCCTGGAGGGGTGCTTCATGTAGATGTGCCTGGAGCATCTCCCTTACAAGGAGAGGCTGAGGGACTTGGGGCTTTTTAGTCTGGAGAAGAGAAGGCTGAGGGGGGATCTGATCAATGCTTATAAATACTTAAAGGGAGGGAGTCAGGAGGACGGGACTGGTCTTTTCTCAATGGTGCCCAGTGACAGGACAAGAGGAAATGGGCACAAACTTGAATATAAGAAGTTCCATCCAAACATGAGGAGGAACTTCTTTCCTCTGAGGGTGGCAGAGCCCTGGCAGAGGCTGCCCAGGGAGGTGGTGGAGTCTCCTTCTCTGGAGACATTCAAACCCACCTGGACACGTTCCTGTGCAACCTGCTCTGGGTGGCCCTGCTCTGGCAGGGGGTTGGACTAGATGATCTCCAGAGGTCCCTTCCAACCCCATAGCATTCTGCGATTGGGAAGGAGTGGAAGTTCACTGAGCAGCATCCAGGCAGTTTTGAACACCAGCTGTGCAACAGCAGCTTTTTGCCACACTGGGCTTTGTGCAGAAATAAAACCACGAGTTTTTTATCATCTACACAGCTCCTGGTAGCCCCCCCCACACCCATTCATGAGCAAAATCTCTGAATGGCAAAAGTGTATGTACAGAACTCAGTTATTGTATTTCACCAAGTTTACTCTTAGGAAAGGCCAACAGCCAATTTGAAAGGAAATGTGTGCCAACATACTTCCTTTAACTGAAGAAAAGAAACGAGGAATGGGCATATTACCTTAAAACGCTCTTTTTTAGGTTACTGATCAATTTGATGAGGAGAAGGATTTTGTGTTCAAGGGCATAGTTGCCAAGTTGTTAATACCTGGACTTGGCATGTGTTCCTTGTCTAAAATAGACTTTGTAGAAGAACTTTTTTCATTATTTCTTTTTAATAGTTGCAGGACTTCCGAGAAGGGGAAATTACATTTGGAAGATGCTTCAATTATAGTACCTTACTCGAGCAGATCTGATAAAGCAGACATGAGATTTGATAAAAAGCAGACAATTAATGAAAAAAAAAAAAAAGAGGGTACAGCATTAACTTCTCTATATCAAAATTCACTCTTTCAGATTGCGGAGAGAATTGCACCCTGAGGAATGAGATAATACATTTCACTCTTGCCTTTGTCTCCTAAAAACTAGACTAGACCTAGCGTTAATCTTTAAATAGTTAACGAAGCAGGTAGAGGTGGCATCATTACATGGTCTGGTAAGATAGTCAATAGTAATTTTTGACAGCTGGGTAAGGCTGCAGAGATCATTTATTTAGAAAAACAAATTTTATCCCCAGGGCAGAATCAGATCAGATGGCAGCAATTAAAAAGGATTTTATCCAACGCTTGGAATAAAGCAAGGATAAGAAAGAGGTCTTCCATAGGAGGCAGGCAAAGCAGTGTGTAAGGGTGAGCTGATAAGACCAAGAAGAATTTAAACTATAACAGAATAAATAGGTTCAAGAAGTGTAACACTGAGGGAAAATGAGTATGTTGATTGGTGCCACTGAAGGAGCCCCTAGGTACATGAAGCGGAGGATTTATTAAAAGGAAATAAATGTGCTAAGTTACTAGCTTGGCGTTATTCCCCTCTGCTAAGCTGCAGCCTGCAGGACACAGTTCCACATTCATTAAACACATGCAACTTTTGCAGCTTGTTGTAAGAAAACCCACGCTCTCTTCTTCATTCGGTCCAAGGTTCGAAAAGAATAAAAATACAGTCCCCAGGAAACACATAACTGGCCAAGAGACATGAGCACAACAGAGAAACCATAGAAAGAAAGGACCAAGCCTGGCAGGCAGCTGCAAGCACAACCGTGCTGAGACCTGTGGCTTCCCTGGTGAATTTTGGAAGTATTAGTGACTTCCTTGAGAGCTGCCTTGAGCATCCTGTGCTAGGGAAGGAGTTCCTGCAGCCTGTGAAAGGAGCTACTGTTGTTCTTCAAGGGATAGAAGAGACCTTTCTTTATTCGCCCTGGCAGAACCAGGCTGTTCCCCAGTAAAAAAATAAGTAAAAATGCTTGAACATTCTTAAGTTACCACATTCTCCATTTATTGAAACTGTGCCATAAGCTGAATTGGTTATAGGTGAGAAGACCATCAGGTACACCTATTCGTCATCACTCAGACTGCTAATTCCAGGAGAAATTTATTTCTTATTACTTTACATGGAGAAAGCTTAGGGCAGCATGGAGCTTTGAACAGAACCTCATCCCATGTGGCTACTGGCCCACAGTTACTTAAAGAGGAACCTACTGACTTGTGCCAGTCCAGGATGATTCTTATCAATGTGCTTGATCTCCCATTTGAATTACAGAAAGGATTTTAGCATGGACACCTATTCTCTCTTTGTTTTGCCCTTGACCCCTCAGCCCTCTACACAGGAAATAGGTTATTTATTACAGAATTATCACCTGGATCTATGCAAATTGTTCAACACTGTCCCATATGACATCCTGGTCTCAAAATTGGATAGTCATGGATTTGATGGATGGACCACTCATTGGATAAGGAACTGGCTGGATGGCTGCACTCAAAGGGTTGCGCTTAATACCTCAATGTCCAAGTGGTGGCCAGTGACGAGTGGTGATCCTCAGGGGTCAGTACTGGGACCAGTGCTGTTTAACATCTTTGTCGGACACATGGACAGTGGGATAGAGTGCACCCTCAGCAAGTTTGCCACAAAGCTGTGTGGCACAGTCAATATGCTATGGGGAAGGGATGCCATCCAGAGGGACCTGGACAGGCTGGAGAGGTGGGCCCATGTGAACCTCATGAAGTACAACCAAACCAAGTGTAGGGTCCTGCACCTGGGACATGGCAATCCCAGGCACAAATACAGGTTGGACAGAGAATGGCTGGAGAGCAGCCCTGAGGAGAAGGACTTGGAGGTGTTGGTGGACGAGAAGCTCAACATGAGCCAGCAATGTGCACTGGCAGCCCAGAAAGTCAACCCCATCCTGGGCTGCATCAAGAGAAGTGTGGCCAGCAGGTCACAGGAGGTGATTCTACCCCTCTACTCTGTGCTCGTGAGACCCCACCTGGAGTGCTGTGTCCAGCTTTGGAGTCCTCAATACAGGAAGGACATGGACCTGTTGGAGCAGGTCCAGCAGAAGGCCATGAAAGTGATCAGAGGGATGGAGCTCCTCTGCTGTGAGGACAGGCTGAGAGATTTGGGGTTGTTCAGCCTGGAGAAGAGAAGGCTCCAGGGAGACCT